GAGACTGCAAAGATGTTCCTAGCTGAGACCTACCCCAGAGATGGTTCGTCCCAGGATAATGAAGAGGAAATATTTATAAGACGCACTACGGTATGCCCACCTGGTACGGACTTGTGCCCACCGTGGGACATATAGGATCTACGTGCTGCTGTGGATAGGCAAAAGACTGGACGTGCACCTGGGTTAGACTCCATAGACGCAGCAATCCTCAGGAACAGTATCCCCTATATTGAACAGAGACTGTTGACATTGTTCAATGATTGCCTGGACAGGGGATACTTTCCTAAGAGTTGGAATATTGCTGATGTTAGACTCCTCTACAAGGGAGGAGGCAAGGACAAGCAATTAGCCAAATCTTATAGGCCTATATGCCTCCTCCCTATCATGAGTAAATTATTGGAGAGCCTGTTGATGATGAGTCTACGACCAGTCTTCTCTAGGGCTAGCCATCCACGGCAGTACGGATCCACTAAAGGCAGGGGAACCGCAGATGCCCTGCTGAGAGTGCGCCGTGACATTGAAGAGAAGGCGAAGAAGTATGTCATGCTTATCCTGTTCGACATATCTTCCGCCTTTGATAGCGTCTGGTGGCCGAGCGTACTCCAGCAATTTGCAGAAGTATGAGGCTCCCAGCAACTTATATGATCTTTTAAGGAGCTACCTCCAGGACCGAACATTGAAGATAAAAGGTAGCTTCTTTGAAGTACAAGAGTCGATGGAAAGAGGTTGTCCGCAAGGCTCGGTTCTTGGTCCAGCCCTGTGGAAATTAGTCTTCGATGAGTTGCTAGGGGTACTAGAACAGGAGCGGTTCCCCGCCACGGCCTATGTTGATGATCTGGCCGTTGTAGTGGCCTCAAACAGCAGAGCCAGGTTAAAAGAAGAAGCTGAACGATGTGCCAACCTCGTAGGAGGATAGTGCGAGAGAAAAAAGATGAAGATGGCAGCTGCTGAAACCCAGTCCATTCTTTTAAGAGGTAAGACTGACAGGGCCCACCCTATTACTCCCAGAATAGAAGGAGACGTCCAAGTGAGGCTGTTACATACCTTGGCATAAGAATTGGGAGAAATTTCAACGTTACGCCTCACTTGGACTACATGAAAAAAAGGGTGGCCCTGGCTCTCAATGGACTTAGTCACATCAGGGGCGCCTTTTGGGGTCTCAGGTACCCAGCCACGTGGACTATTTATAAAGGAGTTATTCTGGGCATCCTGAGATATGCGTCCTCTGCGTGGAGTCATCATCTCTCGCACCAACAGAAAAAAAGGTTGGCAACAATCCAGCGGATGGCTCTGCTGTGGGTCACTAGAGCGTACCGTTCAGTGTCTCATGAGGCGGTACAAGTCTTAGCCGGAACTACTCCTATTGATCTTCTCCTACGAGAAGAATACTTTTGGCATAAGATGAAGAGGGAAGGCCTGGTGGATCTACCGGCGAATCTTCGTGTGAGGATCAGTGAAGACCCTAATGGATGGAAGAGGATTCTTCGGGAGAACACATTAAAGAAATGGAACCAGCGGTGGGTGACGACGCCAAAAGGGGCTACGCTAAGAAAATACTTCCCCCACCGTTAGTTCATGAATGGAACAGACATGGATTCTCTCGGACTACTGGGTCTCACAGTTCCTCACAGGGTATGGGGGTTTCCGAGCAAAGCTCGTTGAATATGGCAGGAACATTGATCCCCTATGCCCAAGTTGCAGAGTGCCGGAGACCGCCGAGCATATCATCCTAGTCTGTACCGCCTTTGAGGCACTGAGGGCTAAGTTGTTGAGGGAGACGGGGCTCTACGCTCTGACGGAGAGCGATCTCCCTCAACTTATGACAAAGGAAAAATACCCATATTACAAGGCATTCGTATACGGGTGGAAGGAACTGGTTGGGTTAAACCACTTTTCATTGGGAAGAAGAAATGAACCTGTATACGGAAGACCTCCAGAGAGGGTGGAACAGGATGCTGGATAAAAAGAAAAAAAAGAGCAGGCTGTGTGCACAGCTGTAAAAAAATGTAATTGGTCTGAATGCAGCAGTGAATTGTTACGCATGCGTTGCTACTCACTACTGCATAACACCCGTATTGCCTTATCGGCAGGGTAGGGTGTAAATAAAATAAAATAATAAAATAAAATATTTGAAGTTTTGGTATTTGTAACTTGAGTTGTATCATAAGGAGCAATATTGTGGGAGATTGCGTAGTGAGGAGTTACACTCGTCGTTTGAGCAGTTGTGAATTGTGGTGTTGTGTTGTAATATGTAGTTTTAGTACACGTTGCCTGTGCGTAAGTCATGTTGTGTAGTTTTTGCGAGATAGGGACGGTGTAAGTAAGTCGGTCGTGTTCCGCCACTGGAGGCAGGTGTTCTGTTACCTCTCTACTCGAAGTGGCCTGGCTCCACACATTGAGTCTTCTTTTCTGCAACTCTAGATGCACTACGCATCCCCTATAATTCGCAGGATGATTTCCACTGCACAACGCACAAACAGGTGGCTCTTCAAGTGGTTTCTGGCACCTATCACTAGGATGATCTTGACCGCACTTCACACATCGTGGTTTGTGACGGCAAAATTTTCTGGTGTGTCCGTATTCTTGGCATCTAATACATTGGACAATATTTCTTCTTTTGTAAGGTTCTTCAATCCTAACTTTTGTATAAGCCAAATTACTTATATTAAAAACTTCAGGTTATGTGAATTAACATATGTTTGCTTTTGGTTATCACAGAATTGTTTGAATTCGCTCTCTTTTTCTCATTTGTACCGTCTTTCGATGTAATACTTGAATTGGATCATACCTTTCTCTTCAGCAGTTTTGACAAAACGGCCTGATCCGACAGTCCACTCGAGCCAGCTAATTGGCGTGCACTCATAAGTAAAGTGTCTGTTTTCACTTTAAAAAAAACTATACAAACAGATTATGCCTTAAAAGAGAACACATTTTCACTATAAGACACATAACAAATACAAGAATTCAATAATTTATAAGAAGAAGAATTTTCTAGCAACCGCACTGTTCAATCGTAACAGCTGATTTAACATTAATTAATAATTCTCGACTGAAATAGCAATAATTATGAACCCATTGTTATGGCCTGATATTTAAGGGCCGAGCTGCTCATTGCGAATATAATGGACCAACTAGTAGTCAATAAGAATTCTCTATACCTCCAGTGTCAATTTGAACAAATTACCTGAATTTGAACAAATCTATTTTCTAGCCATTCCATAGAATGATCACCTTTTAATATTACGAATATTTGTATAACTTACTTACTTATTTTCCCGGCTCTACTGCCCATATAGGACCTTGGCCTCCACAACTCAGCCTCTGAAATCCTGCCTATCAACGGCTACTCCATTGTCCAATTCCTATTATTATTGTCCTCCACATTTTCGATCCATCTCAGTCTGGGCCTTCCTCTACTTCTTTTGCCTCCTGATTTACCATATATTAGTTTTTTTCGGGTATTTATCTTCATCCATCCGTATTAAATAGCCAACCCATCTTATACGGCTTGATTTAACGTAAATGACTATTATTCCATATTTTCCATTGGCTATCTATACATACTGGCTCTATATAGATCTGTCGAAGGACCTACCTTTCCCAGATCTGGAGGATCTTCTCGCATTCTTGTGTCAGGACCAATTTCACACGCGTAAGTGACAATTGGCATAAAGATCGTATTATGAACAAGTAACTTTGCCTTCTGTGACAGGTTTACAAAACACAATGTTCGCCGTAATGCGAAAATACATGGGTTAAACATCGGTTGACTGTTGTCTCCTGCGATTCTTTCTTTTATTTCCACTATGATGTCATTTTTGCCAGTCATTAAAGCTCTCAGATATTTGAAACTGCCAATTTTCTTAAAATTGTGGTGGATCAGATGCTATTCAATCCTTCATGTCTCTCTCTCTTTGAGGATATGATACATTACGTTTTTCTCTTATGTATCTATGAACCTGATTTTTTCCTATCATCTTTAAACTCATGTAAATCTTCTGATTCTGCGACTTTAGATCTTGATGATATTGCCACGTCATCAGCATACGCCAAGTGTTGGATGAGTCTATTATATATTGTTCTTTCTGGGTTAGTCTTAATTACTCTAGCTGCTAGCTCCAATGCAATATTAAATGATACAGGAGAAAGAGGAGATCCCTGATGTAAACAATTCTCTATCCAAATTTTTCTGACAGTATTCTCTATCTTCATCCTGAATCAGGTATTTTCAAGCGTCGTCGCACTCAATCCTACTAGCATTTCCGGAACTACAAGTGCTTTCATGACTTTAAGCAGTTCATTCCTACTGAGGTTATCATATGCTTAGGGAAAATCTATTCGCATAAATATGATCTTGAAATGTCCGTATATACCATTGTGAGATAAGTTTGCGGAGATTCTTTCACAGAAATCAAATTAGAAATCGTACACATTTTACTTCTTCACTACCATTTTTAAACAACCCGATAATCCATCTCTTTTTCTGCTTTTTGTTTTTTATTTATGCGGTTTAGGATGGTATATTGGACTCCATCTTCACCTGAACGTTCAATGCCTTCTTCAGGCGATTGAAACCTTCAAGCCGTCCGGCTCTACATTATTTCCATTCAGAAAAGTGCAAAAATGGTATCTATTTGGAATACTTAAATGATAGGCTACCATCAGAATGATAGGCAAGCACATATCCGTGGGTGAGCACATATTTTTTATTCCAGTATCTGCAACCAGAATTCAAGTCAATAAATTGAAGTTGAAAAGTACGTTTTTAGGTTTGACTAAGTGATGTATACCTATACATATATATTTATGTTCTGAATGGTTAAAGATTAGTAGACAGAGGGATGATTTAAAGAATGTTTTGAAAAATACATATCTGATGTTTTTACAATAAAAAGAAGTGTAAAGATTGTAAATAGAATCTGAGTAGATTGAAGATAAAAGAAAAATAATACCCGTAAATATATTAAGTTGAATAAATATGAATGTATTATTCTATTTTTTTACTTTAAAAGGTTAAATTTTTTTCGGTGGAAATAAATAATTTCTATGAAGAACGCTGCAATGGAAAGAAATATACCACAACCGTAAAGAATAAATGGACCTGCTAAAGCATCAATGTCTACAGCTTTCCAAATGGTTTTATCTTGATGCTTCCAAAGAGGTACTGTAAAATCTTCCACAAGCTTATCGCTGATACCAGCAAGGATGAGACGTTGTACCATTTTATCTATCCTCTCAAACATGAAATGATTTCTCCTCATCATTACCCCGGTTGGAACACGAAGCAAAGTCACTGGAGTTTGATATATCTGCAGTTTCTTCTTAAAGATGAGATGATCGATGTAAACATCGTTATCAACGATTGATAAGTTTCTGAATGTTATCATTTTCGTGAATATTTCGTCGTAGTTATTAACAACCACATAGCTAGAAACTGCTTTTCTCACTTTAGGTTCTTTCAAGGTAGAAAGTGGTGCGACCAAGTAACTGAACATGGCTGTCGTAAGATTTCGCTCTACGATATCATCTAAAGTTGTAACTTTAGATTCCATCTTACCTCCCGTAATTAAACCAGTCAAGGAGGCTGTGTAAGCAAGGTTCAGATGTATAGTAAAGAAGAGCCACAATGAAAAGAGAAATCGAAAGTAAACTGTTTTAGGCATAAAACCCGTCGAATTTCCAAAAGCAATACTCCAAAGAGTGAAGCAAGATTTTTCAAATTCAGTAAAATAAAACTCTATCCGTCTTACATTAGCGAATAAATAAAAGAAACATGGCGTTAAGACAGCAGTTATGGTACATGAGATCCACAGTTTTACAGAGAAAGCTAAATAAACAAATTTCCATTTTTCTATCGGCAAGGGATTAGGAAAGTACCACATCAGTTTCGAAAATACGTATGGTGATTCAATTGTAGTAACTGGGTAATGCATTAAGTTATTTGATATTCCAGAAACAGTTGCCCAAGAATATCCTTCTCTCAAATCATTCAAAGATCCATAGATTTTTCCTCCCTTCTGCCATAACCACCCGTCAATTCCACTATAAAATATGATTCTCAGACTGGCGTTGATTTTCTCCGTTATAATTTCAATTAACCTGTAATCAATTCCATCATATTTTCCATCGTTGGTGGAAAACATGAACGGTGGGTAGCGCACAGTCGAAACAGGAAAATCACAACCTCGAAATGAATTTGGAACTTTATTAGGAAAGAAGTCCACTTCTGTGAATTGCCCATTCCATTGAGCAATACGTGACAGTTTCACATTATCTTCCGGGCAGCTTTCCCCCTCTTTTCCATAAGGAAACAATGTAAAAGTACTTACAACATTATTCTCGAGGCCTACTATAATCACATCTATGTCACCAAATAGGAACATCATTTTAAGTGCTTTGTATGCCTCATCCTTTAATATTTCTCCATCTACCACGACTATGAATCTGGTGTGAGGGCTATCACCAACTCGGTATAAAGTATTCCAGGGATGATACATAATTTCTTGAAGTTGAGAAGTATAGTTGTAATTTCGAATTGGAATTACATAAGAGCATTTAATAAAGTTAGCGACTACGTATTTACCTGTTTTGAGATATGATACGGAGGGTAGTATTGTAGGTACGATAGGTGTCCATCGTTTGTTCATCCTAACGAGTAGGTTTGAGAAGATTAAGTCGGGAGGATCCTGTCTTGGATAGAAGAAGCACAAGCAGTTCCCGTGGAAGTTCCTTTTGGCTATGAATTCCACAGCATCTATAAGATCGTCTCTGTTCCAATGAAACATACCCAACATTCCGCAACTGACACATCTTATTAAAGCCAGAAGAAGTTCCCACCTCATAGCTCTGATTGAACTCGTAGAGAATGACGTTATCACTGAGCATGAGGTTAAATATTGACCAATCAGATTTCCTAAAGGTTTGTAGATCTCCCGATTAGAATTCACTATTCAGAAGGCAATGAGAAAACTTTTGTTCATAATTCATGTACGACAATATTTATCTAATAAAAAAATGTTTATTCCCCTTTACAACTCACCTTGTTTTCGATAAATATTTGATGTAGAAGCTTTCGCAATAGCCTTTTAAACTAACAATGCATTAAAAAATACAAACGTTCAATAACTTGGCAATAATAGCATGATTTATTTAAATTTCAAGGATTTTTTTTTTGTGTGTGTGGTATTAGAAGTACGTTTAAACATATGCTGATGATAATTATTTGTTTTCCAATTTCAATTTTTATAATAATAAATGATGCCTTATATTTCAATTATAATACATAAAATCACACTTTCTAATAAAATTGGACTTACAAGCTTTTACAGCGTGGGTGTCGATAACACAATCGCGTTAGAGTTGGCATAAAATGATTTAATTAATTATTAATTATTATTTAATTAATTACTTACATTGTACATCATATTTTAGGTAAAGAAGTAAGAGTAGAATGAATTATTTTAATAATGAGTATAACATTGCGTAGAAATATTTCGATGCTTGTGGGAGTGCTGTGCATAATTTATCCTTCTAAAATAATATCCTCATGAAATATGAATGTAATCTTGCAATTCTGTCTTATTGCCGGCAAAAGATATGAAGGTTGGTAGCCGCCTCCACTGTCATTAAAATACCAGCATGAAGCTTCGAATCGTTTTCTTTTATGAGATAAATATTTTACTTAATCCGTATTTCGACATAAATCACTTCATTCTGTTTTTAATTGTTTCTACTAATGCAATAGTATAAATTAAAAACATGCTATGGACTGCTCATGCGATCAACAAAAATATCAAACATGAAATTTGGATATTATAGCTTCAATTTGTCTACAAAATTCATTTATTTGTTCAGAAATATTACATTATGTCATAATCAAGGACATTTATAATAGTGTTCAGAGAGCACACTCACACTCTATTTACAAAAAATAAAAATAAATAATACAGAAACTAATAATAATAAAAGTATTATATTTATATAAACAAAAGAACTAAACTAATCAAAATAACAACTAAAATACATGCATACTATACAATATTCACAGAATCCATTCACTCAGAAAAGTTCCGAGCCAAGCCTTTCTCCCCACTCGTGGAAGGAAAGGCAGGACTCTCGAAGATCCCAGCGCCTCGCACTGAGCCGCATTACTAGTATTATATCTGGTATTATTATATATTGTACATTGGGAGGTGGGATAGCTCAGTGGTAGGGCACTAATCTTCTAATGCTCAAGGTCCCGGGTACGAAATCCCGACTCATGGCAAAAAAATTATTTATTCTGTTTCATCGGTCATGAGGCGACCCTGGGGTAAGGAGACCCTCTTGGGGCACACCCAGCCTCTTTAAAGTGGGTATCCTTAATTAAATTAAGGTGGAAAATCTGGTACTTGGGGAAAATCTGTTACAGCTTTTTTTATTTTTATTTTTTATAGTAGCGCTTAAACGAATGTACCAATTTTAATGAAACTTCGCAAAAGTCATTTTCTCTACACCCTTTAAACTTATATATATAACATACTTCAACGAAAAGAAGCTCAAAAAAAGTTATGAGGGATGATAAAATTAAATTCTGAATAATTCAAGAAGTATACACATTTTTGTGAATATTGTGATAAGATGTTTCAAAGGTATTCAAATTTCCTAAACAATGAAGAAAGTTTCAGCGAAATCAAAGCACTGTTAGTAGAGATATGGTGATTTTAAAATATTTTGCTTCCTCACTACCGAAGGTAGTGAGGAAGCATTGTGTTCGTGCGAGAGATTAAAAAAATTTTATTGCTCAGAATCGATTTATTGCTCGCGTTTTACGTTTCAGACATCAAGGATCAAATTTGGTTCGGTGTCTGTCTGTCTGTAGTGAAATCGATGTGACGGGCATATCACCTAGTACCGTTAATCCAATCTTCATGAAATTTTCAGGGATTATGCTGATTGGTGCCTAGATGGTCTCATATCACTTTTATCAAATTCCATCGAGCACTCCCGCTTACGCACGCGCAAACGTATATTTTTAGATATGCTAATATTTCAGAAAGGGCTCGTTCGATTTGGCTCAAAGTTAGATAAAAGGTAGACTTTAGTGAAAAAATAATGTAGTATCCATTTTATTGAATTTTGTCAACCACTTTCTCTTAAATATGCACTACTAGTCCGCCGTCCGCCGTCCGCGCATTTTTTTCCGAAACTACTGGACCGATTTTTTTCTAATTTGGATATAAAATTAGAGGTCAAGAAGTATAAAATTTTTTTCAATATTGTATATGTTTTTTTAAAAGTTTACGTAATTTCCTAAAAAACAAAAAACAAATCGTTAAAATCGGACAATCAGGAGCAAAGATGGTCTCTAGTTTTTTTTTTAGATGTGCTATTGCAAATATTTATCTTTTGTTTTGATTTTTGAAAGTGTTACTGAAGTAATGCTATTTTTTTAGCATATTACTAATGATTAAAAAAAAGTTTAGTCCAATAATTGGAATTACCTTTTATTTATTTTTCTTTATAACTTTATTTATTTAGACATATAATATTCTGTCACAGGGACAATAATTATATTGATAAATGAACACATTCACACAGTATATACAAAAAAAATAAATAAAATTAACAAAAGTAAAATAATAACTAAATAATAATAAATAAAAACTATATACAGTAAAAAAAAATAAAATAACCTAAATACAAGTAAATTAAAAACAGTCACACCTATATACAATATATACAATCAGGCGGGGAACCCAAATCCCCGCGCTACTCTCTCAACCGCCTCACCGGTGCTAAAGCCGGTGGAGTTTGAGCGAGATCGCTTTAGCCACATACATTCATGTCTCGAGTGGAAAATCTGGCCATTGCCAGAACTCCAAAATAAATACTATCTCTAGGCCACTGCCGCTTCAACCTTCGAGGAGGGTTGTAGGGATGAGTGGAGCTAGATAGGGATTGGGCTAGGGGATTTGGATGATTGATAAGGTTCTGATGGAATTTTGAAAAATTTTCAGGGAAAAGGTCAAGGACAAATGGGATATTAATGTCATGATGGAGGGTTCTGTTGGTTACATAGAACGGAGCATCGACTATTGTTCGGAGGACTTTGGATTGAAAAGATTGGATGCGTTTGATGCTAGAGAATTTTGCTGTCCCCCAAAGTTCAAGTCCGTAGGTCCAAATAGGTTTCAGGATTGTCTTGTAGATCAGTAATTTGTTGTCAATTGAAAGTTGAGATTTTCTGGTCAGTAGTCTGTATAATTGGCCGTATAGTTGGTCAAGTTTCAGGGAAAAGGTCAAGGACAAATGGGATATTAAGGTCATGATGTAGGGTTTTGTTGGTTACATAGAACGGAGCATCGACAAATAAATATTCTCGCGTCACTAATCCCAAAAAAAAACTTTATTGGTATGAAAGATTACAATTTACAATATTCGTTCTTAAATGCACTAGGTTATTAAATAGAGACACTATAATGTTACTATAAGTCACGTCGGAGTCGGTTGGTCTAGGTATGTGTACTGACCGGAGGGTGTCACTGTTAACCGGTGGGGTGTCTCTCTGCTAACTGGTGCCATATGCTCCGAAGGGCTGATATATATACAAGTTTTGGAGTGCTGACTTCAGCTGTGACGATAAGGGTGGTCCTAAGGATTTATGTTCTCCCTTCTGAAAATCTGAAGTCCCTGAAGATTAAGTGGTTGAAGATGCGGAGGGTAGTTTCCATGGCACAAAATTATGTTGACCTAGACTTGAGGAATTTTTACATTTCCTGGCTATTTTTATAATATGCCAAACTAATAAACAAATTACTACAAAAATGATACAATAATTATAATAATTTTGTACAGAGATATTATCATAAGTTTCTAAAGTTTCAAATAAATCATCTTTCAATTCAAGTGTAGAAAGTTTTTCAAAAGTTATATTATAAGGTTTAAAATCATTGATAGAACTAGTGATTAAAATAATATCTGAATCTATTACAAAAGAGTGAGGTTTAGTATGGTTAATTATGGATTCATTATAATACAATTTTATAAGTGCTATTTCGGGTAGGTATATAGGATAAGTTGTGTTGGATTTTAGGATTACAAATGGTGTATTAAAACTTAAATATAAATCAATATCATTATAATATTTAACAAAAGGAGGGGTATTTTACAGTTGTGGTTAAACAATTTTTATAATTATTATTATCTAGGTTAGTAATACATTGGTCCTTAATAACTAACTAATAAGTGATTACAATAATGGTTAGTTTTAATAAAAGTACAATTTGCAATATATACTTTGTTTTCATAATATAATACAAGTTCGTGTTGTGTAATTGTTGTTACAATAGTGTTGTTTTTAATAATTGGGATTGATAATAAATATAAAGTGCTAATTTGTTTATATTTTAAAGGTAGAGAAATAATATAATGAATAATGCCATTTTTGATTGAACAATGAATTTTACTTGTTAGCCAAAGGGTTTCTAAATCATTTGAAATTAAAGTTGCATTAATTGCATCTATGTCTGTTTGTTTTAAAATGTTTGAGTGTAGTATACCTAATTTGCAAAATTCTAATGAATTCGCTATGTCTGTTACTCTAACTGTTATGTAATTGATTATATTGTAAAGTTCATTTAAATGTAGTGTAATTTGTTCTTGGTTTAATCTTTTTAGTACTTCTGATGTTTTGTTGTTATTATTATTTAATATTTTAATGTCATATTTGAAAGTGTTAATGAGGTTTCTGTTTATATCTATGTCATGGGCAATTTTGAGTTCTACGCGATATGAATTTCTTTCGAGTTGGTTTATAATTCTGTCATACCTTTCTTTATCTTGAGCGTCCATGTTTCCTGTTAGCCAGCTGATTGCTGTTCCTAATCCATTAATGAGTCCTCTTTTTGAACGTTTGTTTGTTGGAACTATATTATTGAGTTTAT